TTATCCGTTTCAAAGGAAAATTACTGCACCTACATATTCTGCTAAAAGTATATATCAAGATTTTCCTCTCATTTGTATACATTTAAATTAATTATATCAAATTACTGAGTGTAAATCCAGTTAAAACTCACAATTACATGATGTTTGTGAAGTTAAACAGATCTAAAAAAGCCCCAACCCTCTAAAAATCAAGTCTTTACCTACTTTGTGTGGACAAGACTGTATTTTGACTTTTATCATTTAACTATTCAAGCAAACTATACCTTATGGATGGTGTTTTTTAATCGGCTCAGACATCATACTAGATTTTAATCAAAACAGCTTCTCCATTGGTGTAAAACTAAAGATAAATGGAACTGTCCCTGTGTTATGTATTTGTTAACATAAGACCAGAGTCTGTTCCACTTTGCTAATAACAGTAGTGTGTTACTGTTTAACAATGACATGCATCAAACACAATTAACATTACAAATTAGCTTAATATCTTAATTTTTTTTTTCAGGGAAATGCAAAGAAATAGAAGGAAAAACACAGAAGAACCTAAATATAGGCTTTCTTCAATTTGCTAAACTTCTAATTCTCTTATAAAGAAGTGATAGGCCACTCACTAAATATTCTGATTTTTAACTGCAGCATCAAACATTTATGTACAGTTAAATGTTACTTTACACACAAAAATATTATGAAAAAAGATTTGAAAAATTATTCTTAATAGAAATAATCTGTCTGCTGATATCCTAATTCTTACATTAGCAGAGATCCAGCACTAGTCATATGGAATATTCTTAATTATCTAACTCTCTTTGACCTGCGTTTCTTTTAAGTTATCCAGATGGGCAAAATTCTGTTCTCCTTATTTACGATATATTATATTAATGATATTAATGGAATTGTTTTAGTAGCTTGGATAAAGATTCACATACAAGGGGTTTCTCAAGGAATCTTAGGCCTAAGTGCTGTCTGTCTTCTCTCTATTCCACTCAGCTGCTACAGAGTTTCTCCAGTTTATTCAAGAATAAATTCTCCTTTTGGAATCAAATGGTATTTTCAGGTAGCTTTTAAATCACTCAGATATTGTGTCTGGTTGTTCTGTCAGATAAAAAGTTGCAGTAAGTCACAGGAGTTGCAAGAGGTAATGCCATGGGACTTGCAAAGTGCTCAGCAAGGTAGCTACAGCGTGTAACTCCATGGTCATGCTGAAATACTCCCCAGTCTTTTAGAAGCCTGCAGAAACCTATAAACATTCACAAAAGACACTGCAGTCATAAAATAATTAATCTTCCCTGGACACATGAGGTTTAATAATCCAGCCACAGCAGGCTCCTACCCATTAGCAAAGCCACTAAGAACATGACACCAGAAAAAAAAAGAAGAAAAAGCAGTATATAGGCTAATGCACGAGTTTCTGTCTACTTGTTCAAACAGAGACATCCAGAATGTGAGATTATAACTTCATTTCTCATATTTACTCCTTTAATTAACAGACTGTCAACTTTTTCATTACATCTTTGAGAGAGCTAAATATATAGTGAATTTTCCACTAAAATAGCAAAAAGGTCTATTACATGATAACATGATTACTACATATCCAGTGCTAACATGTGTGGTCTTGCACTCAGTCTGAAATGAAGGTTAATAATATAATGATGCCCATGTGATTGCTCTGGGTGCCAAACATATACATGTGTTGGCATCTTGCCACCTCAATTATCAGGGCATAATTAAACACATTGTAAAAATTACTAATTTCATCACTTCTATACTGTGGAAAAACAATTAAACTTGTAGGGATTTTACTTTCTTACTTCAAGCAAGCACTTGTCCTTTAAAATGAACTGGTGCTTACCTGATGCATTGGACTGATACATTGGACTGCATTCAATCTGTTGTTTTTCAGAGAGAAAAATATGCAATATCTATACTTAAAATAACCCAGTGTTTCTATTTAATGTTGGATAAAATGTTCTGACAACCAGGACTGGAATAGAGACCTCTGTGCTGCCTCTCAAACAGCTTAAAATGTGTGTTATCTTTGATATGCTGTCCTAGACTCAGTGAAACCTATATTCCTTTTACCATGGCCAAGCAGCAGAGGAGACATCATCCTGCCTGCAAAAATCAAACAGGCTCTGAAGAGTCTCTATGATAAAACACTGGCACAGAAATGCTACTTTGGGATTTTTTACCAGCTGTGGAAATAGCTGAGAAGGATTCTTGCAGAGCTGCAGCTCTGGGCTCAAGACAAACCACCCTCATAACCCTTTTTCTGCATCTAGCTTAAGGGGTGGTTCCTCTCAGCCCATCCTGTTAGGTCTGCTTATTCTCAGTGTACAGAAACGTGCAACTCCAGGGCCTGCTGTTTCTCATTCTCCTGTAGATGGTTAAAAGCACCCCAACTATACATTGATCTCTCCACGGACTATAGAGATACAGTGATTAAAATCATGTGGAGATGTATACACAGTAGCCATCTAAAACAGGCACTCAGGATCCCCTTGCTCTGTGGAGGTCAGATAAGAATCAATGCATCACAGCGAGGTTGGTCTAACTAGGAACACAGCCTGAGTCAGAAGCCAGTCACACTATCCATGATGTCCTGTTATAGTCCTACAGCCTTCTCCATGATCTGTTTGTTTTGGGTTGTCTTAATATTTTTTGTGGTCATAACTTTCATATCTACATTTCAGTCACAAACCTCTGTCTTCTACTTTCTTATGTGTTTATGTCTCCCTGGCCCATCCCCTGAATACTCAGTGAATGGATTGGAAAGCCTTTGAAACTAGAAGCAGACAGAGTTTGTTGCAGGATGAAACCAAAGGTAAAAAGTTCACGTACCCTTAAGTATCACTCATGTCTAACTGCCTGCATAAGGTTTAGCTCAGTGTTCTCTTTTTCATGTCTGCTTAGGTTATGCCTAGTTGAAAAAAAGTAGCTCTTCAGGGCAGAGACTGCTTGGACCTTTATTCCTTTCTTATGGTCTACATAGAGCTAAATTATAATAACAGTAAGAAGGCAAGGATGACCTTTACAATTACGTGATTATTTTTCACAGCACTGAGAATAGATACCCAAACTCAATTGTTTTTCACTTGTTGCTAAACACAGTAACACAGTATTAAGGCAACCATTCAGAGGGACAGAAAATGCTTGTACTCAAAAATCAAATGATATTTCAACTGTGCTTAGTTAACATCAGCCTCAAACAGAAATTACTTAATATTAAGTGGTTTGGGTTTGTTTTGAGTTCTTTTTTCTAATTTTTACCATTTTGTTGCTAAAGCTTGTTAAGTTAGAAAAAAAAAAATCTGTGAAACAAACAACACTCTTAGAAACAATTTCTACAGACGGCTAATTGTATAGCATGCTTCAATCAAAGGATCATGATTCCAATGGTCTTCACTTGTGATTTATACTTTGCTGTCTCAAGCTGACTTTATGGCAGTAGCAATGCAATAATGCTAGAACTACACTGTAAATAAAAAATGCCAACTTCGTTGCACAGTCCAAATAAATAACTTTAAGTAACTCCATCACACAAAGTGCAGTCAAAAATGCAATTAATATGAGGGTCTTGCTTCGTGTTGTAAAAATATGAAGAAGTATTTAGGACAGGCTTTTTCACATGAAATTCTTCCCTATATTCAGATTCAGCAACTCCAAGGTCAAAGTACTGGAACTTCAGTTTTCAGAGTCAAAAGGATGGTTTAATTATTATTTGGTATGAGGACAACTGTGTTTCTCTACCCTGCATACAATATCAAATTCAATATAGCTTAATACATCATGTATTTTCATTCATGCTTTCATTACAGCCCTCTGAAGTACAATCATTTATTATACATTCTCTTGAATCTGTTTGAAACTGTAAATAAAATATGAAGTACAAAGGGAGAGGGGAAAAATAAAAGCCTCAGAAATCTTACTAGGAAAAAGTATTCCCTTTCTTATCCTCCTTGTTCTAACCATGAACCTCCATGAGCACTGAACAGTGGTGGACATTGGAAAACAAAACTGAAGATCAGGCCTTATGCAGCTTTAATGCCCTAGTACAGTAGTGATAAATTCTGAGTGCACCAGTGTCACCCCTATGATAATTACCCAAGCAATAGATATTTCATTAAAGAGAAGTGCGTGCCTTGGAAAAGATCTTTGCTAGTGGAGTTAGTAATATATTGGAGCTAAAGTTCTCATCAAATTCTTTGCTAAACTTCCGTTCAATGGTCTACACATGTCTAGGAATAGCAAAAGTCACTCCAGCCTTCAATGCTCCTTTCAATGGCCTCAGCCCAAATGACTTAATTTTTCACAGAGTATTAGGTGAGTTATTCACACAAGGCTCAGACCACAGAAAAATGCAAAAGGTAGAGTGCAGCATCACAAGAAGAAAGCTTTTGGCCACCTACTTGTGACCCAGATTTCTGTCAAAGAAGACATCAGGCAGACTACAGGGAATCATCTCCCCTGTTAACCTCACTGGCAGAAGACATTATGGTACATGGACCTGTCATCAAAGTAAAGAAATCTTCATGTGAAAGTGGAAGGTAGAATCTTAGTAGAAAATACTGATTTACATCTATTAAGACGCAGCATTGTGTATATGCCCAATATAAATGCTTGAAATATGGAAGTCTTTCTTTCTTGTTTGGCCAGATTTCTCTCATTTTCCTACGAGAAACTTTGAATTTACAGAACAACTAGCTTCCATCTCTTTTTCTGGGGTAATTTTTTCAGAAAATACATTCTAATTTGAAAAGTCATGCAGTGTTTACCTGCTAATCTAAGAAGACAAATCACCTTTTTTTTTTTTTTTTGCAATAAAAGGCCAGTGGTCTTTTTTGCAGGAACACTGAAAATGGTTTAAAATGGTTAATACTAATAGCCATTGCAAACCAAATATGTATTTACCTTTGTGTTGCATTAGCTAAACACCATTTGCTCTAGAGGAAATAAGAGTGACTAGGCAGCCTCAGCAGCTTGAATGAAAGATTAGAAGAGTGTACCTGCATGACAATAAGAAGGTCAAACACCAAGATGAAAGAAGCCAAGAAGGCTCTTGAGACTTCATCACTTGGCAGAAATCCACGATTAAGCTTGTCCCAGCTGATCCAGTCAGTCGTGATGACAAGCACAACTACAGAGGTCAGTGTAAATAGAACCGTCCTGTAAGGGGAAAAAAAATAGTTCAGAGAGGATAAGATACTAATGAAGATGCATCATTCTATTTTATCTGTCTTCTAATGGTCAACTAGTGCTTTAGCAACACTTTTCTGATGATGAAAAGAGATTGAAGACAATTAAGTGTACAAACAAATCATTTAATTCAAAATAGGAAAGCAGTCAGCTGTATCCTTAGTAAAAAGAAATTTAGGAGCTAGTATTAAGGATTCTGCAAAATTAGGCTGAAGTGAATCACTCTTGTTCTTTATTCCATATTTTTCACTGAAGATGCAAACCAATTAACTAAAAGAATGAAGAAGTAAACTATAATAATGTACCAAGGACTGTATGATCTAGGCCAGATTCAAATGAACAATTTCAGAGAACATCTTCTAAAGCACCAAAGACATTAGAACCTTTGAAACGTCTTTTTTTCAGCTGTAGCAGCTATAGGAGACTAACCGTGAAGTTTAATTTTTATATAGAAACACGTCTGTATGAAATACATGTTCATTGCACTAAATTAATCTTTAGTAAATTCTGGGGATTGATTTTGCTTCATGTCTCCTAAGATATCCTTTGCACAAGTTTTAAACATATCTTATGGCATTTATAAGAAGTCAGTGAAGAGTGAATTACAAAAGTAATAAAGCCTCCATATGAATGCTACGAGAATTCCAGAAGACACATTTAGTTAATTCATACAGTTTTGAAATATGGCATTTAAGAAAATGTCTTTCTAAGTTATCCCCCCAAAAATAGCCCTGCGTCATTTCCAGCAGCACTTTGGTGATATCCTTCAGAGTTGGCAGCAATGACTGATTGAATTCCTGGTACTGTGGAAGCAGGCAAATTTAGCCAGTAATTTGAGGGGGAGCAAGGCTTCTCCCAGTAGCCACAGATGTCAGTAAGTCTGTGCTATAATAGGGGCATATCAACATCTGAATGCATGCACACAGCTAAATAATTGTGGCAGGGTAGAGGTTTTTTTTCTACAGCAATAAAGTTTCATTTTCTTCATCTACTGAAGGCTGTAAAACAACATGAAGTCTATTTCCCATGACACTTCCAAACAGGACAAATACCCAACAGAGTAAAAGAAAAATCAGTACACCAGTAGTCACAGGATACCAGTCTATACATAGTTCTTTCTATACATCAGCCTTGGCTGTGTCTGTGTAGGAAGGGAAAATAAATATGCACATAAGCAGTAGTATACACATTTGGACTCCTAAATATTATTCTTCTGTTGCATGATGGGCTGTGCTTCTTCACAATATAATGAGACACAAAATGACATGACTGCTACCACTTTTACCTTTGAACATTTATTTTTATTCTTAATAAATAAATTCAGTTATACTCAACACTGTGGTTGGCACCATAACAGTATCCCTTGAGTGTATTACCAGCATCTGGGCAAGACAAAAAACGCAAATGAGGCCATTAGACTTAATTAGACCTAAGCAATATTCAAGCCTGCTTATCCCCAAAACATTTGCTTTCCTACCATTTCACCTGTCAGTATTTAAACCTGACTGGCTTTTCTACAAGCTCCACTTTGGCAAGCACCCAGAATGGTTCACTTCAGAAAGGCAATTCATTATAGTGTTTTTCTCTTGTACATAGTCTCTTAAGACCCTCAAAGGTGGCTTTTTTCCACCTATTTCACCTTCATATCTGAAATCCACATGGAAGTAAATGTTCTCCCTTCAGCTGAGAGGTTCTCCAGAAAGAACAGTCCTCAGTGCTTGTCTGCCAGCCGGTGCAGAGTGCCCTCGCTGCTGGGCACACTGGTTTTCCTCATCCTCTTTCTGAGGAACCCATATCTCCTGGTGCATGGTTAGTTGAGAACCATAATTCAAGTCTATCTAGTTTGCTATGGGAACCATGTACCCAGAAGTTATGCTCAACACTATTCTTCTTCAGTCCTCTTGAATTATGCATTCGTCTTTTGGAGAAAGAGTTCAAAGCATGGAATGTCAGGCTTTGGCATGTATGCAAGCAAAGGCAAACATATTTGTATGCATGCTTCATTGGCATGCATGCAAACACCACTGTGCATGTTCAAGCCCTGATTTCCTTGAGGAAATGCATATGCACTGAAAAAACTGCTTTGTTATTCATTCTGAAATGTCAAATAGGGAGGGAAGAGAGAAGAAAATTGGCTGCTAATGGAATAAGAAAATGTGAAACCAATAAAATAAGTTAGAAATAGACTTTTGAAATTGTTGCATTAAGCAGCATAATTAGCACTCAGTTGTATTTTTGACCTATGACACTGGAACACAGCAAGAAATTCAATACATGCTTTTGGAGTTGTTATAAACTGAGTTTGTCTGGGTTAGAGTTCACTTCACTTCTTGTGAAAGTGCAGCATCGCCCCAGTGTCCTGGGGATTAAGAGAAGCTGAGTATTTCAGTTAACTTGACATAATTGTATCAGATGAACCCGTGCGAACTACCCTGCAATATTTAGGCCAGCGTACTTTGCCCTTTATTCTGCAAATGCAGACTACTGAGAAACAGCTATGCTATCAAACAATTCACAGCATTGCTGGCAGGACCTGTCCATCTTCTGCTTACAGGAGGGCTATGAGGGGGAAAGCAAGCGAGGATTTACTCTTCTCTGCACCAGACATTAAGAAACACAACTTCTGTCTCTGCTTCAGAGAAAATTCACTTTTATATTTCACTTCTAATTCGAGCTTACTGTATTCAATGATTATATGCCCTGTGCAGCTATTCAGCTACAATAACACACATTTTACAACCTACCTCATACTTTTCAAGGCACAAGGTTGTCTTTTGAAGAACAAAAATAATAATAATTAAAAAAAGTCTGCAAAACCCCCACTGTCCAGGCTAATCGCTTACTGAGAAGTTAAAATTACTAGGTAGGTCCAGAAAAGTCAGTACTGTGCTTATCATTGCCAGTGATAAAAAAAACAACAGAATTTGTCCCTGGAAATATAAAGACAAGCTAAGAAATGTATACAAGTTCACAAAGCATTTAATGCTGGAAGCAAGAGTTGTTTTCATTCTTTTCATGTCTAAATCAGCAGGGCAAAGTTTACTGAAAACAAATTCTGGTCTGTGAAGGGACCTCATTTCTCAAACTGTCACGTAGTGAAAGTGAAGTTTTTCACCCCTCAAATATCAAATAGAATTCTTTGCACAACCATACATAAGGGGAAGATAGTACTACCTTCAATTTACCAGCAACTTTGAGATGCTCATTGTTAGAGATACTTAGAATTTTCTTGTCTTGCGTGACCCTCTGCCAAATCTTCCATGAAGCTACAGCTTTGATGTTCAGATAGTAAGAGTTCTGCTAAGATTGACTGAAGAGATGAAAGAAAAACTTTGGCTATTTTCCTCATCTTTACTTTGTATCTCCCAAGAGACGAAAAGCAGTATTTTGCCCTTTGACAAACACTTTTCCAGAAAAAAACTCTACCTGTGCTTAGTCAAAAGTAGCATTTAGAGAACTTTTAATCACACTTTCACACATAATTACCATTAAGCCAGGTTATTTAAAAACTTAAACATTGCTAATAAGCACTCCAGGTATTGCTACTATGTACAATTGGGACAGAGAACATATTAACAAAGAAACAAGATCATAAATTCTGCACTCCTGTTACTGTTCATTAAGGAAATGAGCATATATACTTAATAAAATAGAGTATTATATACATATGAATTTACTAAATAAAGAAAATTAACTAGTATATAGTCTAGGTGTATTTAAACTAAATAAAACTACCTGTCAGTTAATCAGTACTCATCAAAATGTTCAGCTTCAGGTGGTATTGTACGAAATAGAAATGGAATTCTAATCAATGTTTCATAAATGACTATTTGTATTTTCAAAGAATCATAGAATCATAAAATGGTTTGCATTGGAAGTGACCTTAAAGATCATCCAGTTCCAACCACCCTGACACAGGGCACAGGCAGGGACACTTTGCATTAGACCAAGCCGCTCAAGGCCCCATCCAGCCTGGCCTTGAACGTTGCCAGGGATGGAGCATTCACAACTTCTCTGGGCAGCCTGAGCCAGCACCTCACCACACTCACAGTAAAAAATTTCTTCCTAATATCTTCCTAATATCTATCCTAATATCCTATATAAAAAATATCTTCCTAATATCTTCCTTCATTTTCAAGTGTCAAGTCCCTCTGAATGGCATCTCTTCCCTCCAGTGTGTTGACTGCACCGCACAGCTCGGTGTCATCAGCAAACTTGCTGAGGGTGCACTCAATCCTGCGTGTTGTGACAAAGATGTTAAACTGTGGTGGTTCCAATACCAACCCCTGAGGAACGCCACTTGTCACTGATCTCCACTTGGACATCAAGCCATTGACCATAACTCTTTGTGTGGAACCATCCAGCCAATTCCTTATCCAGCAAATGGTCCATCCATCAAATACACATCTCTCCAGTTTAGAAACAAGGATGCCATGAAGGACAGCATCAAATGCTTTGCACAGTTCCAGGTAGATGGCATCAGTCACTCTTCCCTTATTGTAATTCAGAAGGCCACTGCATTTGTTAGGCACAATTTCCCTCAGTGAAGCCATGTTGGCTGTCACCAATCACCTCTTTATTTTCCATATGCATTAGCATGGTTTACAGGAGGGTCCACTCCATAATCTTGGTGGGCACTGAAGTGAGACTGATTGGCCTGTCTTTCCTGGGTCTTCCTTTTTATCCCTTTTTAAACATGGGAGTTACATTTATCCTTTTCCGGTCAGTGGAAACTTCACTGGTCTCTCAAGACTTCCAAATATGATGCATTGTGGCTTAGCCACTTCATCTGCCAGTTCCCTCAGGACCCATGAATGCATCTTACCAGGTCCCATGGACTTGTGCACCTTCAGGTTCCTTATACAGTCTTCAAACTGGTGTTCTCCAGTGTCTGATTCTTCATTCTTCCAGTCCCTACCTTTTCCTTCGGTGACTTGGGCAGTGTGGCCAGAGCACTTGCCAGTGAAGAC